AGGGAAGCACTTATCCTACTAAGTCATCTCCCGGCCCATGATTTTAAAATCTTACACAATGGGAAATAGAAATGTTTGCAGCTAAAAAGATAAACATATTTTCAGTGTTTAGAGTTTAAAGACTTCTTAAAACTGATAGAATTTTTTTCTGATGTGAATTATGTCAGGTAATTGAATACCAGTCAGTTACATAAAATAGAATAGGCTGAAATTACGGATTTCAACTCACTGAGTTTGTTTTGCTGAGTTTCTATTGTTTTGAACTGAGCATGAAGATCAACGGTAGGCATATGTTTCAATGAGTATTTAGCATCTTTTATGTTTTTGGGTTAATTTTTAATTAGATTAAAATAACTGCATGTTACATACTTGTATCAATTCCTCACAATAAAAGTAAACATTATGTACTACAACTTGAACTAATAAAATTTAAAACTAATCTACTATGCACCAAAAGAATTGATATATTAAAGTTAAAGGGAAAAGGTCATAACAAACATCTCTTTTAGGAAAGCACTAGCTTCTAAATTGTATTCCCTTAGTTTATGATTAACTTAATATCATTTTGCTGATAAATATGCTATATCTTACTTCACAGTAATTGTATCTGGGTAAAATTCTAAGGATGCTCATGTTAGTCTTTGAAACAATTCTGTCAAAACTTTTGATAGTTCACTAATTTTTCTATGTATATTTCTCCATTGAAAATTTTTATCTGGTATGTCAAAAAATAATAGAATAGGGAGATTGCTGAAGCCTAGATTTTAACAGGTGCCAGCAGATGAGTAGTTGTTCAGAAAAATCAAAAGCAAGAGGGAGTAGAATATATAATTAGAATCCTCAAAGACTTGAATGCTTTATGGGAGTTTGTTCCAGTCTCATTTTCATGTATTTTGTGCTTATATAAATACACATATGCATTAATATTTTCCAGGTTATATGCTATTGGTGGACGTGATGGGAGCTCCTGCCTCAAATCAATGGAATATTTTGACCCACACACTAACAAGTGGAGTCTATGTGCTCCAATGTCCAAAAGGCGGGGGGGTGTGGGAGTTGCAACATACAATGGATTTTTATATGTCGTAGGGGGTCATGATGTGCCTGCTTCTAATCATTGCTCGAGGCTTTCTGACTGTATGGAACGGTAAGTTATTACAATTTCCTTTTTTTTGTTTTCTGGTAATTTTTATTATTATTATTTTGTTTGCTTTCATTGCTTGCACTTTTATTTTTTTCATTTTTTCCATAATTTTATTGAGAAACAAATAGCAATGAGACACTTTCAAATCAAATTGGTAGGACAGTTTCAATAATTAACAAATTGCATACATTCTTCTTAGTGGTTAATTACTGTACAAGATGCAGACATGATATTCTATTTACAAACACCATTAGAAAAAATCCCTCTATTCATTAAGAGAATGTAACTATATATCTATCCTA